CACAATGGTGGGAATCTTATGGATTTCAGCATCCAGAGTTACAAAGATTTTCCATTCGTATATTAAGCTTGACATGCAGTTCGTCTGGGTGTGAGCGTAACTGGAGTGCTTTTGAGATGGTAAATGATTTGTTTTTTATAGTTAAAATTTAAAATCACTACCTATTACTTGCTAATTGCTATATATTCATTGGGTTTGTATTTGTTTAGGTCCATACCAAGAAAAGAAATCGCCTGAAACAGAAGAAAATGAATGATCTTGTATATGTGATGGCCAATTTAAAATTGGCCAAGAAGAGGGAACGCAAAAAAAGTGTTGGGCAAGAGCATGAATTTTATAGCATAGATGATCTTTCATCTGATTATGAATGGATTGTGGAAAATGAGGGAAGTCCATCCAACATTGAAGATATAGATGATTTGGATATTCCTGAATTTAACTTAGATGCTACAGATGAAGATGCTTTGATGATACCTGAAGATGATGGTGGTTCTGAACTTGGTGGGGAAGGTGGAGAAGACATCATGCAACATTGTTTTGGTGATGAAGATGAAGATGATGATGAAGAAAATAATGAAGATGGTGATGAAGATGATGGGATGGAGGATGATTATGACATTCCATCATTCCATTGAGATTTGATTGATATATTGTTTTGGATTTGAATGTTGTGTGCTATGACTTTATGTGTTTGAGACATTATGTGATTATGACTATTGTATGACATTATTCTGCTGGTTGGTTGAATTAAATTTGCTTATTATATTACTTTATATGCATATAAATATATATAAATATAATTTGTATCTTGTGTTACGAGTCTACGATCCGTGTTATGATTATGCGATTTACGAATTTGGTTCACCCTTCCGAGTTTGCATAGAATCTCGAGTTTGACAACCATGGTGGTAACACTTACCCAAGCTTAAAACAGAGCAAGAAGGTGCTCTTGGAGCTCTCACTTCAGCTCCTACAATCTGACTAGCAGGGGAAACGAAAATGCCAACCAAGCTTGGTCCTTTCTTCACAAAGAAAGCTTCTTGAAGTTCCACAAGCCAAGAAGATGACCCCCACAACCTAAACTCAAACACTCAGCCCCCTCACACCCACAAGACAGCAACCAAAACTCAGCAATGGTGTACTCTACCCACTCACAATGATATCTCACACACTCACAAGAGGTTTTGACGAAGAGAGTAGAAGGAAAGGTGACAACTTTCCCTCCAAATGGTGAAGAGGAGCCATGAAACAGTGGAGGCTGCTCAGCACACACAAAACTCACGCATAAAGGCTGGAGGATCAGCCTAGGGTTGTGTGTAAGTGGCTACTTATAGCCGGTTTAAAGTTAATAACATAGTATTACCACTAATAGTTACGCTTATCATTTTAATCCCAAATTTTGGAATCTGAACCTACTCATTTTTCTAAGATTTGTCATGTTTTTATTTTATTTTTCGCAGCACATTTCTGGTACGCGCTTTTCCATAGCCAGTATCAGTTCTGGCACCAGTTCTCATTATTTTGACTTGAAACTTGAAATCACAGTCCTATATATTATTCCAGTAATATATACTCACTTTTCATAATTTTCCGGGATACTTGATCGGTACGCATTTATACCGAGTAGCAGAACCGATATCTGCACTTTTCGTCAGAAAAGCGACTTTCAGCATTATTACTCACTTACTATAAATATTTAAGCCTCATAATAATTATTAGGGTCAATTATGAAATTATTTCCTACTCTCACATAATTAATTAATTAACTTCCTTATTTAACGGTGCGGGTTCTTACACTCACGCACATTTTTTAGGATTTTGTCCTCAAAATCAGAAACATACCTGTCGGCTGTCTCGAAGCGCGAGAACTGCTGGAGAAGCTCGTCCTCTCGTTCCCAGAACTACCCTTCAGGAATTCTTCCCGTTCATCGTACTCTAACCATCGAAATGATCTCGCTCCTCAGCTGCTTCTCGCCACGATTGAGAAACTTGAGTGGTCCGACGAGAGTTTTCAAGTTCTCCCGAACCTCCACAACATCCGGTTGTACAACGTGCGAAGGATCCGCTACAAACTTGTGAAGTTGAGACACGTAAAACACGTCTTGGGTGTTGGTCAAGTTCGGAGACAAGGCAAATCGGTAGGCAATAGGTCCTACTCTACCACGTAACTGGTATGGCCGAATGAATCGCGGGTTCAGTTTCCTCACTCTGAGTTCCCGAACAACACCGGTGACAGTGAAAGTCTCACAAACACGTGTTCACCCTTACTGAACTCCAGTGGACGATGCTTAACATCAATGTAGTTCTCCTGGCGACTCTGCGCCTGCTTCAGCTTCCTCTGATCATCTAAATCGGTTGGTGGTAAATTGGACAAGGTCCAAGCCAAAAAACTCTTTATTTCCAACCTCAGACCAACAGGTAGGAGTTCTACACCTCCTACCAAACAGCGCCTCGTAGGGTTCCATGCCCAGGCTAGCAAGGAAAACACAATTGCACACAAACTCAACCGATGCCAGGTTCCTATCCCATGTTGGGCCCTGCTCCAAGGTGCAAGCCCTCGACATGTCCTCCAAGACCTGGATGGTCCGCTCAGTCTGTCCAGCAGTTTGAGAGTGATAGGCTGTACTTAGTAGCAACTGAGTTCCAAAAGCTCTCTGCAGCGCCTCCCCGAACCGAGATGTGAACTTCGGGTCCCTATCACTGATGATACTCTCAGGAATCCCGTGAAGCCTCACGATCTCGTGAACAACAGTTTGGCCAACTGCTTTGACGAGAAGCTCACCTTTACCTGAAGAAAATGGGCAGACTTTGACAATCTGTCCACAATGACCCAAATAGAGTCAAGACCAGCCTGAGTCTTAGGCCAACCCACCACAAAGTTCATGAAAATACTTTCTCACTTCCACTGCGGTACCTCAAGAGGTTGAAGCTTAAAAACAACTTCTGGTGTTCATTTCTTAACCTTCAGGCGTCACAACAATAGACACGCAATAACAATGTCCTTCCTCATTCCAGGACACACCGTCCTGGTTCTTCTCCAAAAGCTCATTCTCGACTCTCATAGTCTCAATTTCGAGAAGTGCATCCTCAAACAAGGAAGTCACCTTCAAATCTCAAAACTCTTTATTGACATCCAAATGCCAAACGATTTTCTGGGATCACCAGTCACCTTCTCAATAAAAGTGACCTGACCCCACAACTCAAAACTACACAAAACACGAGTGAGTTTGGTCTTATTCCATGACTCTAACCTCAATGATAAACCCTTAGTTCATTAGGTTTTTAAGCATGAATTAGTATCAATTTGTGTGATTAAATGGATGGAAAAGAGGTTAATATCCTGGAAATCCCTTAAGTACAAGTTATGAAAGCTTTGTTAAAAATTTACATTGTCTTGTAGGGAAATGAAGCTCAAGGAGCAACAGAGAGAAGGAAGAAGATTTTGAAGAAAGGGAGAATGCTAAGTGTTGAGCGCTAAAACGTCCAAATAGAGCGTTATAGCGCACTGCTGCATCATGAAGCCAAAAATTGCTGGTGCCGAGCGCTAAAACGTCCAATGCAAAGGTTTTAGCGCTCTGCTATTGGAAAAGTTATGGTCTTGAGCGCTAAAACTTCCCTGATCAAACATTTTAGCGCTCTGATGTGGGAAAACATTCTGGTATTGAACGCTAAAACGTCCAAGTCAAACGTTTTAGCATTGGAATCAGTTGAAAGCAGTTGGGCATCCGTCAAACATGGACGCTAAAACGTCCAATAGTGAACGTTTTAGCGCCCATTTCAGTTTCTGGTTATTATTCAATTGTATTTTGTAACTCTATAAAAGGCAAGGGCCTTTACATTCTCTGATATCCTATCTCAGATCCTCTGATATGACTCTTCACTTTCTCTGACTTTCCAAATTCTTTAGGATTAGTTCTTGTAATAGTTAGTACATTTTTATGTAATTGTAATTGAGGATTGAAGATTCAACCATCATGACAATGAAGTTTGATCTTTCTTCTTCTCTTGTTTATTCTTTCATTATGTCTGAGTAGAGTCCTTTGTAGTCTGATTCAATGGAACTCAAGTGTGAATTTATGAATGGTTAATTGAATACTTTGTTTATCTCTTATGTGATGATATGAAGTTGTCTTTATTAATGTTTTCCATCAAGGGAGTAGTGTAGAACAGGGATGTTTACATTATTCCTATAACTGACAATTTCATCATTAGTGTTCTAGTACTCAAGGGATTGATGCTAGGATTCTGATGTAATCTCAAAGATCTTAGTATTTAATGCATGTATTAAGAAGGGAATCACCAAGGGATTGGGGTATCTGATTAATGTATCAATCAGGATAGTAAGGGATTATATCTTGATGATAAGAAAAAGGTTGATTAACATCATATGGGAGATAATTCATAGTAGGATTGATTCTTTCATAAGTTCATGCTTAAGGGATATTGATGTCTGATTACTTGTTTAAATTAGAATTCACATTTCATTTGTTTTATCAAATCTTAATTTAATTCAATTCAATTTCTGGTGACAAGAAATCAATGCAACCAATAACTTTTTGTATGATTCAACTTAAGTATATATGGTTAATTAGTGTTTGAACATAAATCCTCGTGGGAACGATCTTTACTCATAATTTTATTACTTGTGTGACTAGTACACTTGCTAAATACACAACAAGTTTTTCGCGCCGTTGCCGGGGATTTGTTCTTCAACATTGACAGACACCATTAGTATTTGAGATTGAATCTTTTGTTTTTCAGCACTTTATATTTTTGTGTAAATTTTTGTTCAAATTCAATTCTAGTGTATGCGAGGTACTATTGATCCAAATTCTCTATTGTTTGACCCAGAATTAGAAAGGACAATTAGGAAGAACAGGAAGGCAGCAAGAAGAAGACAGTTATAGGAAAGGGGTGAATCAAGTGTGACAGTTCAAGAAGAAATTATGGCAGAAAATCACAGACCACCACCACCACCACATAGGACACTGGGAGATTACATGACTCCCACTGTCATCCCACCTATTGGGAGTGTTGTTAGATCTACAGTGGAGCCCAACAATTTTGAATTGAAGCTTGCACTAGTACAATTGGTGTAGAAGGAACAGTTTGCTGGAACCAGTGCAGAAGATCCATACCTGCACATTGAAATTTTTTTACTGTTGAGTGATACTGTGAAAATCAATGGGGTGACCAGAGATGCTATCTTGTTGAGGTTGTTCACTCATTCACTGAAGGATGATGCTAGGAGATGGTTACAGTCACTACCACAAGGAAGTATCACAACTTGGGATGATCTGCAGACCAAGTTCTTAGCCAGGTTCTTTTCAGCATCCAAGAGGGCGAAATTGAAGGATGAGATCACAGGGTTCAAGCAAGAAGAGTCAGAGTCTATCTATGAGGCTTGGGAGAGTTTCAAGACACTTTTGAGGAAATGTCCACAACATGGTATATAAGTGTGGAATCAGGCAGCAATTTTCCTTCAAGGGTTGACAACCAACACTAGGACATTGGTGAATGCCACAACTGGTGGTTCATTGACAACCAAGACCCCTCAGGAGGCCCTTGACATATTTGAGTCCCTAGCATCTCAGGAGTTTAACAATGCTCTAGTGAGTGATAGAAGAACGGGAATTATAAAACTTGATGGCTATGATGCTTTGTTAGCCAAGAATGATAAGATGATGCAGATGCAGAAACAACAACAACAACAACAACAACTGGATGCTCTCACTAAGCAGCTATCTTCTCAGAAGGTTGCTTCTGTGGACACTAATTCTGTGTGTGCCATTTGTGGGAAGAGCCATGTTACGGATGATTGTGATTATGGGGGATCAGTTGAACAAGCAGAAGTGAATATGGTATGGTATGATCAGAGGAACCACAACAACCAGGGGCGAAATGTGTATGCTTCACCATGGAAGAATATGAATCAACACCCAGGGTTCAGTTACAGTTCCAATCATCAGTTCAATCCTTCACTGCATCGTCCTTCAACACACTCATCACAACAAGGTGATACCTCTGCATGGGAGAAATCTTTTGACCAGTTATCTTACTCAAGGTTATATTCAGGGGTCAAATTCTTTCAGAGAGGAAACTCTGCTTTCATGCAAGAGACAAAAACAGCATTCAGGAACCAGGAAGCATCTATCCAGAATTTGGAGACACAAATTGGGAAGTTGTCTAGACAGATATCTGAGAGGCCATAGGGAAAGTTCCCTGGTGATACCATGGTGAATCCAAAGGAGCATTGCAAATCCATAATTACAAGAAGTGGGCTTGTGCTTCAACCGGTTAAGAAGAAAGTGGAAGAGAAGAAAGATGAGGAGGAAGTTGTCGTTGTAGATGTTGTTGTTGAAAAAGAAGAAGAAGAAAAAGTTGAGAAAGATAAGAAAGAAGATGAGGTAGTAGTTGAAAATAATTCTTCACCCAAGAAAATGGCTGATAAGCAGGACCAACCAATTAATTTGTCTCCATATGCCAAAGTTCCTTATCCTCAACGGTTGAAGTAGGAAATTCAGAAGCAGCATTATGCAAGGTTTCTGGATATTTTCAAGAAGTTGCAGATCAACATTCCATTTGCTGAAGCTTTGGAGAACATGCCACACTATGCAAAATTCATGAAGGATCTTCTGTCTAAGAAGAGGAAGTTGAAGGATGGTGAGACTGTGGCATTAACAGAGGAGTGTAGTGCCCTGATTCAGAAGAAGCTTCCTCCAAAGTTGAAAGATCCAGGAAGTTTTAGCATCCCTATTGCCATTGGAGATGTGGAAGTAGGAAAAACACTTTGTGATTTGGGGGCCAACATAAATTTGATGCCATTGTCTGTCTGTAGAGCTTTGGGGATTAACATGTTGAAAGATACCAATGTTATTCTGCATCTAGCAGATATATCCATCAAGAGACCAGAAGGGGTGGTAGAAGATGTTCTGGTCAAGGTGGATAAATTCATCTTTCTTGTGGACTTTGTGATACTTGATATGGAAGAGGAGGATACTGAAAGTCCTCTACTTCTAGGGAGGCCATTCTTAGCAACTGCAAGATCCCTGATTGATGTTGAACAAGGGAAATTGATGCTAAGAGTGAATGAAGAAACTGTAACCATAGATGTGTTTGAAGCCATTAAACATCCTGTTGATGTGGAGTATTGTTTTAGGATTGATATCATACAGGAGGTTGTGGAAGAAGTGATAGGAGAAGAAGACTCTTCCCTTGAGGAAGACAAATTCAAGGAAGAGTCAAGTGGGGAATATTATCAGGAGGAACCGATAGTTGAAGAGCTTGAAAAGAAGGTAGATGACATTCCTAAGGGAGCACCTAAGGTGGAGCTTAAAGAACTACCTTCAAATCTTAAGTATGTGTTCCTTGGAGATGATCAAACTTACCCAGCCATTATCAATGCATTGTTGTTTGAAAGGGAGGAAGTGAAGTTGATTGAGGTGCTCAAAAAGAACAAGACAGCCATGGGCTGGTCATTTTCAGATCTTAAGGGTATCAACCCTTCCTTCTGCACTCATAAGATATTGATGGAAGAGGAAGTCAAACCAGTGAGGCAACCACAGAGAAGACTCTATCCCACTATGATGGAGGTAGTGAGGAAGGAGATGGTGAAGTTGCTTGATGCTGGGATGATTTATCCTATTTCAGACAGTGCTTGGGTGAGTCCAGTTGAGACAGTGCCTACAAGAACAGTCACTGATTGGAGAATGTGCATTGACTACCGGAGACTCAACAAAGCAACAAGGAAGGACCATTTCCTTATTCCATTCCTAGACCAAATGCTGGAGAGATTGGCAGGACATGTTTTCTACTGTTTTCTAGATAGATACTCCGGCTACAATCAGATAGCTGTGGCTCCAGAAGATCAGGAGAAAACTGCATTCACTTGCCCATATGGAATCTTTGCATACCGGAGGATGCCTTTTGGCCTATGTAATGCACCAACAATTTTTCAAAGGTGCATGCTTTCGATATTCTCTGACATGGTAGAAAGATGTATTGAAATTTTTATGGATGATTTTTCTGTATTTGGTCTTACTTTTGATGCATGTCTAGAAAATTTGGATAGTGTTTTACAAATATGCCAAGATTGTAATCTTGTTTTGAACTGGGAGAAATGTCACTTCATGGTGACAGAGGATATAGTTTTGGGACACAAGGTGTCCAACAGAGGGATTGAAGTGGATAAAGCCAAAATCTCTGTTATTGAGAAACTACCCCCTCCCATTAATGTTAAAGGTGTGAGAAGTTATCTAGGTCATGCAGGGTTTTATCGACGTTTTATAAAAGACTTTTCCAAAATTGCAAAACCTTTATGCAAGTTGTTAGGGAAGGAACAAGAGTTTGTGTTAACTGATGACTGCTTGCATGCATTTAATTTTTTGAAAGAAAAATTGATCACTGCACCAATAATCATGGCACCTGATTTTTCACTACCTTTTGAGTTGATGTGTGATACAAGTGATTATGCTGTGGGAGTAGTGCTAGGCCAAAGGAAAGACAAATTATTGCATGGCATTTACTATGCCAATAAAATTCTTATGCTACTACAGAAAAAGAGTTATTGGCAATTAATTGTGTATGCATTTGATAAATTCAGGTCATATCTGCTAGGGTCAAAGGTTATTGTTTACACTGACCATGCAACTTTGAAGTATTTGTTAACAAAGCAGGATGCTAAGCCCAGGTTACTCCGATGGATGTTACTTCTGCAAGAGTTTGAAGTGGAAATCAAAGACAAAAAGGGAGTTGAAAACTTGGTGGCTGATAACTTATCTAGGATCACAGAGACAAATCTACAAGAGGGCCTGGAAGTGGTGATTAAGGAAGAGTTTCCTGATGAGAAAATACTGGCCATAAGCACAAAGTGTGTGCAGGATCAAGTCTTAACAATTAACACTCCACCGTGGTTTGCTGATTTTGCCAATTACAAAGCTGCTAGAGCCATGCCAAAGGATTTCACCTGGCAACAGAGGAAAAAATTTATGCATGATATGAGGAGATACATTTGGGATGAACCATACCTTTTTTATAGATGTTCAGATGGGGTAATTCGAAGATGCATTCCAGAGGAGGAACAAAAAAATGTCTTATGGCACTGTCATGGTTCAACCTATGGTGGACACTTTGCAGGTGAAAGAACAGCAGCAAAAGTTTTGATGAGTGGCTTCTATTGGCCCACACTGTACAAGGATGCCAGAAAGTATATGGAAGCACGTGACAACTGTCAGAGGACTGGTAATATCTCTAGGAGACATGAGATGCCTTTGAACAATATACTGGAGGTGGAAATTTTTGATGTTTGGGGTATGGATTTCATGGGACCTTTTTCCTCTTCTTACTCAAACATGTATATCCTGGTGGCAGTGATTATGTGTCAAAATGAGTTGAAGCCATAGCCACACAAACTAATGACTCTCGGGTTGTGATTGCATTTCTGAAAAAGAACATCTCTGTGAGATTTGGAGTCCCAAGAGCAATAATCAGTGATGCGGGAACACATTTTGATAACAGATTGATTGAGGTTGTCCTTTCCAAATATGGAGTCAGGCATAAGATAAGCACTCTGTACCACCCACAGACTTGTGGTCAGGTTGAGATTTCTAACAGGGAACTTAAACGTATACTGGAAATGACTGTTGGAAGTGTTAGGACTCAATGGTCCAAGAAACTTGATGACACCTTGTAGGCATATCGGACATCATTCAAGACTCCTATTGGAATGTCTCCATTTCAGTTGTTGTTTGGGAAAACATGTCATTTGCCTGTGGGATTGGATCATAGGGCATTGTGGGCTGTTAAGTTTTTAAACTTTGATCCAAAAGCAGCAGGTGAGAAAAGGTTACTGCAATTGGATGAACTGGATGAATTTCGTCTTTCTGCATATGAGAGTGCAAGCTTATACAAGGAAAAGATCAAGCTATGGCATGACAGGAAGATCACACCCAGGGATTTCAAGGTGGGCAATCAAGTTCTGCTATTCAACTCCAGGTTGAAATTGTTCCCATTGTTCCCAGGGAAGTTGAAGTCCAGATGGTCTGCACCATTTTTGGTTAAAGATATGAAGTCCTATGGAGCGGTGCAAATTTGTCTTTTGGATTCTGACCAAAGTTTTACTGTCAACGGTCAGAGATTGAAACTATACATTGGAAGTGCAGTGGACAGGCAACTTCTTACAGTTGCCCTGTTGGAGGTAAGCTAGATAAGAACCGTCAGGCTCGTGACGTTAAACACGCGCTGAGTGG